GCGGCTGTGACTCGCATGCTCTCCCTCCGTGCGGCTGTGACTCGCATGCTCTCCCTCCGTGCGGCTGTGACTCGCATGCTCTCCCTCCGTGCGGCTGTGACTTGCATGCTCTCCCTGTGTGCGGCTGTGACTCGCATGCTCCCCCTTTGTTTTCCCCGCCTTCCTCCATGTATCCCAAGGCGCGTAGATGAACTGCTGCTCCTACATTGCCACCGGTGTGCCAATGCACTCAGCACCACCTAATATTACCCGGAATACATTATATTTACCAATGTTGACCAACAATTTGCCAAAATGCACATGTTCTGCACCCCGAAGTCTTGGGTTGATGCCCCATCAATCAATGTATCACCAGCCATATAAACTGCACAAGCACTTTTCATACCTGACTAAACAAACATAACAGGAATGTCTACAGCTAAAATCACGACTATTAAAACAAGAGCGCTTACCTACAGTAATACAGAAACATTAAGCTCAACGTAAACTCAAAGTAAACTATTAATTGAAGCTGTAATCTTTCTGGTGTTAATTCAAGCCAGCTTCCCATGACTGATAACACAAGGCTGGTTTGCTATGGGAACCAGAGCAGATTGTCTCCTTTGAACCTGAGACACTTTCTTCTTATTCCTGTCTTACACACGTCGTCACCTGCTGTCCAGGTGTCGGCTCTGATGAACTGTTTCAGCCTCCTGTCCTACTGGACCAGAATCAAAGTAATTAATCATTTGCACTTATTCATTATCTATTTACCAACTGAATGGTGAAAATACAGTTGAGGTATTAATGATGCGAATGTGATGAGTATTCCTGCAGTATAGGGCCTCTAAGCCTCAGTCCTGTTTTTACACAGTATTTATCCACCCTGTCTGTTACATGCATTTCAGTGAGAAGAATAATGTACAAATACTATGGAAAATATCATAATGCTTATGACTACAGAATACAGTCCCATCATGAAACAAATACAGAAAGTCCTACACTTCCTATATACAGCATAATATTTG